CTTGTAAACGTCTGAGTTCATCAGTAAAACCATCTCGACTGGTACATTTAGGTTAATGTTGTTCTTAATCCTTCATATATCCATGGCGACAGCAGATGAAGTCAGCCTGACTGAACAGATCGCTCGTAAATGTTCGCATTTGTTCAGAGCGATTTGTTCTTTCTGTGGTCCGGCGTCCAGCACGGAAACACTCGCCAAACTCCCAGCTAGCAGGAGCGGTGACCTCACATTAAACTATGTGTCACCAGAGCAGCATGGGATTGAACTGCTCTGTCCTGCGCCATTTGTCTGCCACACACACATTCACATACAGTATATATACCCCCAAACACACATAAACACACCCATATTTATTGCCAGGTGTTGAGTAGTGTTTGTGGCTCCAGACTGCAGGTCTCATTACAGGACTTAGGTAAGTGTGACCATAAGCGTTGCAGTTTCCAGATCCAGCTGCACTTCTTGCCAGACAAATCAGAAAATGAATATCCATGCGGTCACACCCACACACACACACACACACACACACACACACACACACACACACACACACACATGCAGCTGCAAAGGACCCATCTGCTGTTTCCGGTGTTTAAAATATGTCACTTATCACACTTGTCATGGCTGCAGTGTTATTGTATAGAAGTCTTACAGTAGTTGGTCATCTGCTGGGGAAAGTCGATTAGTAGCACCGGCAAGACATAGAGAGCCTTTACTGATATGAACCGACCGATTCAAAGTCACACTTGAAGGTGAGATTTACATGAACGATTTTAAAATTAGTCAGACATACAAACTGCTGCAGACGTTCATGTGGAAAAGACGCTGTTTACAGGATATCTGTTGGGGATGCAGACGTACCTGTTGTGTTCCTCTGTCTGTGCTCCTGTGGTTCATATCCTAAGTATGTGGAAGCTGCATGGCATGCAGGACAGACTTTCTATACTTGGTTGATGTCAAGCACTGGAATGAAGCGGTGGTCCGAGTAAGTTCAAGTAACACAAACAGTGCAGCCATGACGACGGAGGTGTTGGAGGAAAATGGATTTCCCCTGGTGAGCCATTCGAAGGGCAAGCAGCGCTGATATCAGCANGACGATGAACAAAGAGGTGGAGATGAGGTGGGCCGTGCAATTGTCTCTGGAGCTAATTAGGCAAAATTTTACTGCTTAACACAATTTAAATACATGCGTTACAATAGAAACTCACCGCTGTACCGTTGTCATGACTCAGAAAGTTAGCTATTGAGACCAAACCGTGTTTTTTTGTTGTCAGGCTGTAAACATGTTTATGTTACGTAAGTGTTTGCTGGCAAGTTCACCACATCAACGTTGAAGGTCAGCGCTTGTTTCCACTGCTGTTTAAATAGCCTAAAAGTCAATTAGTGGAGGTTTAAACCAGCCTTATTAACAACGTAATGAGAGCTGGTTGTTATCTTAATTGGTAAATTCTCGTAATGGTCAGTACAGCCGGCGAGCCAGCATGTAAAACGCGTGTTATGTAACTCTGTTTGCCGATAAGCTTGTAAAATAATTCCCCAACAAGCTCCATAAAGAAAATGAAGGATGTGAGGTAGCCCATTGTGTTACTGATGGTCAAGTTGACGTTACTAATCGTTTCAAGCAGAACAGAGCTCGTGGGAAATAAAAAAAATCCCAAATTGTTATATAATGAAGAATTGGTTAATTACAGTTTTGGTTGCTAACAACAGCTTTGAGTTGACAAAGATTTTTTTGTGTGCTGTGATAAGTGAGAGATTTAATAGCGCTGGATCATTTCAGAAACGATTCACGAATAAGAAAAGATTCGTATCAGTTATTTTGATTCCTGTAGAGCAGGGGTCTCAAACTCAATTTACCTGGTGGCCACTGGAGGTAGAGTCTGGGTCGCATCAAGTATTCCACAAAAAAAGGGTTTCAAGCATTCCAAAAAAGCACAACTGATCCAATCTTCTCAATCTTTATTAATAGCAACTAAGAACATGAAAGGTTCTCCAGATCTTAGGGTGCTCTTCCCTACTCCTTGCTGCCAGAGACCTGCAGAGCTTCCTCTTACTCAGCTGAGCCACATTTGGCTTGAGGCAGGAAACATTGGAGACCCTCAGTGTGGCTTGAAGATGCTCATCAGTAAGTTTGGACCTGTACTTTGACTTATTAAAGTCCATGATGGAGAAGAGCTTCTCACACAGATAGAAAAACATGCATTTGCAC